CCATAAATTGAATGCTTATCACCTGCAGCGTCACATGCAACGTGAGCTGCAAGGTGATATGCTGATTAAAAGGAGCATAATTAGCTTCCATTGGATCTTTGGCATCGACTGGGCTTTGTTCTAGGCTAAGCTCCGATTGATTGCCTTTCTGTTTAGCTCAGAATTCTATTATTACTGTAACTTGAAATGCTTAATAGCAGTTAATTGCAGCTTAATGCAGGTATTTACTTGCCAAGCATGTCCAATTACAATGCTCCAGGGTTTCTCTTTAAGTCCATAATGCCCATTTACTTAAATTTAAGATAGAGTTCCAAAACAGTTTTATTTACGAAGTAAACAATTTATTTTTGCCCATTTATTATTTTATCTTGGTCATATTTTAAATATAGTAGAATACGGCTATAATAGCTCGGCTTATAGCGGCCGTACGGTTATTGCGATTTAAATTCCGGTCTCCACACTTAGTTGAGCAAACTTATGTATATGGTTATAGCGTCTTCCAGGTATAACGTCGCGACGGTCCCTTGAGCGTCGTTAAAGCCGGATTCTACTGTATTTTAGAACTGAATTAAGTAATGGAGCCAAAAGCGAGCCTCAGGAATCTACAGGGTATGGCCAGGTGGTTGTCTGAGTTCCTTCTACTTCATAGTTTGCATATTTTGCCTTCTTTTTTATTCGAGACGGGTCAGCATTGATTTTGAAGGCGCTTTTGGTTACGAAAATGTCATTGTCATCAATCCCTTTCGGCTCAGGCATAGGGATAGAGAGCGGGAGAGAGTGGGAGAGAGAGCGAGAAAAGGACTAATTAGAGTTAGGTTTTTGTCGTTCTTTGCTCTGCTCTGTTTTGCCTTCCTTTCCGGCTGTGCTGTGCAGTAGTGTTCGCAGCTGCTGTTTCTACGTATAAGCTGCTGTCGGCAGCTACTCAACTATTCCACACTTTCACTTTGTGGCATAGTGCACCTAACTGCGAGCACTTACGTGGCGCACACACGGCTCTTGGAATACTTACTTACTTAGCAGGTCTTAAAATACGGAACAATCAACAAAATCGCATGGAATCCAGCTCAATCACATGTGGGAATTCAATTAAACGAACGTGCAAAAGAGTCGGCTGTAAATGCTCAGATTTGCACTTGATGTGCAGCAGCAGCAACAACAATCGTTTCATCCACACACACACACTCGCACAGACTAGAGGCGTATACATATGTATGTATTTATAAATAGATCCCAAAGCGCCCGGAAGTCACTTACAGCTAACAACGGAAGTTGCAAACGATTGCTGCTTTCTGCTGCTGTTGTTGTTGTTGTTGTTGCTGTTGTTGCTGCTGCTGTTGCTGCTGCTACTGCTGCTGCTGCTCTGCCGGTGTGTTTTATAATCGCTTTTGCGCTGCGTACAACATGAGGCAAAGCCGTCTGTGCCGTCTGGCCAACCAAGCAGACTCGGCTGGCGCTCGTGCGCCCTTTACCGAGTCCTGCTCAGCCAGGAGTCTCTGCTGCTGCCACTGTCATTGCCACTTGGCTCCACACTCGTTCAGTCATTGAACAGTTGTCCAACGCGTTGCACGCCGACGGCAACAACGACGAGAGCTTCACTTCAGACCTCAAAGTGACTCTTTGTTTTCGTTTGCTCTGTATTTTTTTTTTTTTTTTTTTTGGCGCGCATTTTAAATTGGTTGCAAACATTTTTGCATTTTGTGACCAAAATTATTTTGTTTTATTTTTTTCAACTTGATTATATTTTTTTGGTACTAAAGTCAAAGTCAAACAGGTGAAAAAATGCGTGATCATCCAGCGGTGCCAAATGTGTTTCGTGTTGCCTCATCGCACAGCATTAATAGCATGGGCGTTGCTGTCACGCCCAGCAGTAATAATATGCAGCAGCAGCAGCAGCAATTAAAAATGGGCGCCAATATCAAGTATGCGAAAAGCAACAGCTATGAGCAGCAGCAACTAGCACAGTTGGAACCACAACCGCAACAGCAGCTGGCTAAGCATCAGCTAACCACCAGCGCATCCATTGAGCAGACGCATCAATCGATGCAGCAACAGCAATCGCCGTACGCAACGTTGCCCCGCGGCGGTCTGCGACGCACGCAACAAGAACAACAGCAGCAACAACAATACTCTAAGCAGCAGCAGCAGCAAATACAGCACGAGTCACAAAAGCATCTGCATACAGGTGTCATCAATACGATTTCAGGCAGCATTCCAGCGACGGGCTTTCAGTCGCTAGCTGGCAGCTTCAGCGATTTGCAGCTCAACAATTTGAGCCGCAACAACAACATCTGCTCCACCAACAGCAGCAACAATAATGAAAAGCGACAGCAACAATTGCTCTTGCACCACCAACAACAGCAGCAACAGCAACACCCACCACACCAGCAGCGTCAAGTACCTTGCAAACCTACCGAACAGCAGTGGGCATCACTGTCGCCTGAGGATGCTGGTACCACTCTGGAAACCCAGCCTGGATTCACGAGCATGTCCAGCGCCAGAGGCGGTTACCTGTGGCTACTGACACCTGTTGCGGCTAGGTAAGCGCCATACAGTACATGTACTGACAAGCCCAAGAATGTCACTCTCTTGACTCCTTGTGAGATCAACAGCTTGACGCATGCGAGAACTTGACTTACAGAGAGTTTACTTTTGTATATTATCTTAATTATTATTATTTCCTGGCCTTCGAAGCTTTATTATACCTATGAATATTTATATATATCAATATACTAGATAACCGCCTAAAAGTCAAAGAATGTCGTATTACCTTTTAGGTGAACTAATATAGGCTTTGATGAATGTAATACAATAATACAAAACAATATTAATATTGATAGAAATATAAAAGTATTTTATTATGACATTCTTCGTTGTTTGGTCAGATAATTGACTCGCGATATTCCGTTGCCTGCATTACGGGTCCGATGGGATAAATTACATCTCCTAGGACGCGGCATTTTTATACCCTGAGCCCATTGAAAATGGGAAATCAGGGTACAAGGGTTTTGTTGAAATGTATGTAACAGGCAGAAGGAGGCGTGGCAGACCCCACGAAGTATATACTTCTTGATCAGGGCGACGAGTTGAGTCGATTTGGCCTTGTCCGTATTTACATTACATTATCATTAAAAATCGATAACTCATCCCGTTCTTTTTTATCGATAAAAACCTTACCGAAAATCAGTTATTAAATTATATCTCCTACATCTTTAAAGATAGAGTCTCCAAATTTTAAATGTATACTTATATGCATTTTATACAATTTCGGTTTTTGTTAAAATTTGCCTTTCACCCCTATATCCACCCCCTCCCCCTCACTTTTGTAAAAGACGTATTTCATGTACTAGAGACGTATAATCTGAAAGTTTCATGAGGATGTGCATATGCGAATAATTATTGAAATATCAGTTGCTCGAAGGGTTGTAGTCGAGCAGTCTCGACTAGAGCTTTCTTACTTGTTATACTTGTACTTGTACGCATTTCATTGTTATAATCACGATCTGAAAGATCGTATGTCCAAACAAAGTTAATTAACAATTAAGTTCTCATAGTAAGCTCACACTGTGCTTGTGTGTGTGCATGTTGTGTGTGTGTATGTGTGTGTGTGTGTATGCGTGTTTCTTGTGTAAGCAGAAGCAAAAATGATTGAAATAGCTATTGCTCGAAGGGCTCAGGGGATCTCGACTAGAGCTTTTTTACTTGTTAGTATATGTATTTCTGTGAATTGGGTACGGTCTCCCATTTCCAGCAATTTATTAATATCTGTGCACAGAAGCTCGAGGATTACATATATGTATATAGGTTGTTATATGTTTTAGTGGGAAGTGCCTCATTGGGACCTACTGTACCGAGTTGTTAATCCTTTATGCATAAGCATCGTGCGCCAGACTCATGTTTTCAATGAGTTTAGAGTATCAAAACAAATTTAACTTTTAACAATTTAACTTTTCATTCAATTTTTGAATTGCTCTACCTAATTTTGCCCCATCTTGGTTGTTTATTTAGAAGACAGTTTTTGTGTGGAAGGCTTGAGATTCCTCAAAAGGGGGGAATACTTCACAGAGTATGGCAAATATTGTAAGAATTGTGCAAGTGCGAGCTTAGGAATCCGAAATCCAAATTGAGATTGTCGTCGCGTTGAAGGCGTGTGGCCGAGTTGAGTTTCAAACTTTTCGAATTAAAGCTAAAAAATTTGTGGTCCTAAATGCGAAATGGGTGTAGGGCAAAGGGCGAGAGGACTTCCTTAAAGTCGAGTGAAGGCATCTGAAGACTTGGACACACTGACTGCAAATAGTTTGCGAACAAATTAAGCCCACTTTGCAGTGATTTGTGTCGCTAACACAATTATTTGTCGGCAGTAGCGCAGCTGATGTCCTTCGTGTTGTCCTGCTTCTGAGTTCTGCTCTCGTATGTCTACTATTCATCGTTATTGCTATTGCTGCTGCTGCTGCTGCTGCTACTGCTGCTGATATTGTTGTTGTTGATTGTAGCAGAGCACGTGAAAATATGTGCTATGTGCAAAATATAAGTTGCGTCCCTTGGCAGTGGCGGTGGCAGTGGTTGTGGTTGTGTGTGAGTGGCTGAGTGAAGTCGATGCTCCAGCAGTTGGTTGGCAAATGCCAGATGTCAATACATATTCATACATTCAACATGAATGCATGTATATGTATATGCGTGCACATACATCTCAACATGTCTATATATATAAAATGTAAATATAAGCATTACATATGTCATTAAAGAACTTCTAAGGCTGCGATCCACTGATTGAAGATTTACTCTTTCTGAACTATCACATTATATCTATCTACACATGCACACATCTGCAATACGTGTGAAAAAGTCATTCATAACAACTTTAATGGCCGTCGAAATGCTGCGCATTGCGCGCTTTAACCATCTTCGCAGCGAGGTGCGGCGAGGCGAGGCGTCCATGCAAATGAGACTCGGAGCTCACGTGAAAGCCAAAATTCTTAATTTGACTGCCACGGCGCAGACAGAATGGCTCTCATTTCTATATACAAGTATTAGTCAGCCCTTGGACCACTTTCATCAGATATTTCTGCGCAGTTTTTCTGCTCAAGCCAATATTTTGCGTGGCATTTATTTGCATATCAACCAGGATGTCGCTGGAAGCCCATTAACTTTTTCGCGCTCACCTTTTCGGTTTCTTATTTTTATACCCTGAACCCATTTTCAATGGGAAATCAGGGTATAATGGTTTTGTTGAAATGTATGTAACAGGGAGAAGGAGGCGTGGCAGAC